CGGCGTATTTACTTGAAAAGAAGAGTGAAGCGACATGGCTTATCAAGGTGCTGTTGACTCAACTGAAGACGTAGCTACCTAAACTTGCGGCTCAACGATTACGATCGGACCAAGGCGGAGAGTTTGCGAGTACTGAGCTGGCCAATTACTGTGCAGAGAATGGTATCGAACAGCAATTCACGAGCGCCTATTCACCACAAGAGAACGGAATTGTGGAGAGAGCAAATGGAGTCGTGATGCCTCGTGTTCGGGCTATGCTGAGTGCTACGAGGCTACCAAAACCCTGTGGGGTGAGGCACTACTGCATATAGCTGCCACACTGAATAGACTACAGACGAAGCCACTGGGGCTGGTCATATCATGTTTCTTCTCATCATTGACGAGTCAACTAGATACAAGTGGGCGTATTTACTTGAAAAGAAGAGTGAAGCGACATTGCATATCAAGGTGCTGTTGACTCAACTGAGGACGTAGCTACCTAAACTTGCGGCTCAACGATTACGATCGGACCAAGGCGGCGAGTTTGCGAGTACTGAGCTGGCCAATTACTGTGCAGAGAATGGTATCGAACAGCAATTCACGAGCGCCTATTCACCACAAGAGAACGGAATTGTGGAGAGAGCAAATGGAGTCGTGATGCCCTCGTGTTCGGGCTATGCTGAGTGCTACGAGGCTACCAAAACCCTGTGGGGTGAGGCACTACTGCATATAGCTGCCACACTGAATAGACTACAGACGAAGCCACTGGGGCTGGTCATATCATGTTTCTTCTCATCATTGACGAGTCAACTAGATACAAGTGGGCGTATTTACTTGAAAAGAAGAGTGAAGCGACATGGCATATCAAGGTGCTGTTGACTCAACTGAAGACGTAGCTACCTAAACTTGCGGCTCAACGATTACGATCGGACCAAGGCGGCGAGTTTGCGAGTACTGAGCTGGCCAATTACTGTGCAGAGAATGGTATCGAACAGCAATTCACGAGCGCCTATTCACCACAAGAGAACGGAATTGTGGAGAGAGCAAATGGAGTCGTGATGCCTCGTGTTCGGGCTATGCTGAGTGCTACGAGGCTACCAAAACCCTGTGGGGTGAGGCACTACTGCATATAGCTGCCACACTGAACAGACTACCGACGAAGCCACTGGGGCTGGTCATATCATGTTTCTTCTCATCCTTGACGAGTCAACTATATACAAGTGGGCGTATTTACTTGAAAAGAAGAGTGAAGCGACATTGCATATCAAGGTGCTGTTGACTCAACTGAAGACGTAGCTACCTAAACTTGCGGCTCAACGATTACGATCGGACCAAGGCGGCGAGTTTGCGAGTACTGAGCTGGCCAATTACTGTGCAGAGAATGGTATCGAACAGCAATTCACGAACGCCTATTCACCACAAGAGAACGGAATTGTGGAGAGAGCAAATGGAGTCGTGATGCCTCGTGTTCGGGCTATGCTGAGTGCTACGAGGCTACCAAAACCCTGTGGGGTGAGGCACTACTGCATATAGCTGCCACACTGAATAGACTACAGACGAAGCCACTGGGGCTGGTCATATCATGTTTCTGCTCATCATTGACGAGGCAACTAGATACAAGTGGGCGTATTTACTTGAAAAGAAGAGTGTAGCGACATGGCATATCAATGGTGCTGTTGACTCAACTGAAGACGTAGCTACCTAAACTTGCGGCTCAACGATTACGATCGGACCAAGGCGGCGAGTTTGCGAGTACTGAGCTGGCCAATTACTGTGCAGAGAATGGTATCGAACAGCAATTCACGAACGCCTATTCACCACAAAAGAACGGAATTGTGGAGAGAGCAAAATGGAGTCGTGATGCCTCGTGTTCGGGCTATGCTGAGTGCTACGAGGCTACCAAAACCCTGTGGGGTGAGGCACTACTGCATATAGCTGCCACACTGAATAGACTACAGACGAAGCCACTGGGGCTGGTCATATCATGTTTCTTCTCATCATTGACGAGTCAACTAGATACAAGTGGGCGTATTTACTTCAAAAGAAGAGTGAAGCGACATGGCATATCAAGGTGCTGTTGACTCAACTGAAGACGTAGCTACCTAAACTTGCGGCTCAACGATTACGATCGGACCAAGGCGGCGAGTTTGCGAGTACTGAGCTGGCCAATTACTTTGCAGAGAATGGTATCGAACAGCAATTCACGAGCGCCTATTCACCACAAGAGAACGGAGTTGTGGAGAGAGCAAATGGAGTCGTGATGCCTCGTGTTCGGGCTATGCTGAGTGCTACGAGGCTACCAAAACCCTGTGGGTGAGGCACTACTGCATATAGCTGCCACACTGAACAGACTACAGACGAAGCCACTGGGGCTGGTCATATCATGTTTCTTCTCATCATTGACGAGTCAACTAGATACAAGTGGGCGTATTTACTTGAAAAGAAGAGTGGCATATCAAGGTGCTGTTGACTCAACTGAAGACGTAGCTACCTAACCTTGCGGCTCAACGATTACGATCGGACCAAGGCGGCGAGTTTGCGAGTACTGAGCTGGCCAATTACTGTGCAGAGAATGGTATCGAACAGCAATTCACGAGCGCCTATTCACCACAAGAGAACGGAATTGTGGAGAGAGCAAATGGAGTCGTGATGCCTCGTGTTCGGGCTATGCTGAGTGCTACGAGGCTACCAAAACCCTGTGAGGTGAGGCACTACTGCATATAGCTGCCACACTGAACAGACTACAGACGAAGCCACTGGGGCTGGTCATATCATGTTTCTTCTCATCATTGACGAGTCAACTAGATACAAGTGGGCGTATTTACTTGAAAAGAAGAGTGAAGCGACATGGCATATCAAGGTGCTGTTGACTCAACTGAAGACGTAGCTACCTAAACTTGCGGCTCAACGATTACGATCGGACCAAGGCGGCGAGTTTGCGAGTACTGAGCTGCCCAATTACTGTGCAGAGAATGGTATCGAACAGCAATTCACGAGCGCCTATTCCCCACAAGAGAACGGAATTGTGGAGAGAGCAAATGGAGTCGTGATGCCTCGTGTTCGGGCTATGCTGAGTGCTACGAGGCTACCAAAACCCTGTGGGGTGAGGCACTACTGCATATAGCTGCCACACTGAGCAGACTACAGACGAAGCCACTGGGGCTGGTCATATCATGTTTCTTCTAATCATTGACGAGTCAACTAGATACAAGTGGGCGTATTTACTTGAAAAGAAGAGTGAAGCGACATGGTATATCAAGGTGCTGTTGACTCAACTGAAGACGTAGCTACCTAAACTTGCGGCTCAACGATTACGATCGGACCAAGGCGGCGAGTTTGCGAGTACTGAGCTGGCCAATTACTGTGCAGAGAATGGTATCGAACAGCAATTCACGAGCGCCTATTCACCACAAGAGAACGGAATTGTGGAGAGAGCAAATGGAGTCGTGATGCCTCGTGTTCGGGCTATGCTGAGTGCTACGAGGCTACCAAAACCCTGTGGGGTGAGGCACTACTGCATATAGCTGCCACACTGAACAGACTACAGACGAAGCCACTGGGGCTGGTCATATCATGTTTCTTCTCATCATTGACGAGTCAACTAGATACAAGTGGGCGTATTTACTTGAAAAGAAGAGTGAAGCGACATGGCATATCAAGGTGCTGTTGACTCAACTGAAGACGTAGCTACCTAAACTTGCGGCTCAACGATTACGATCGGACCAAGGCGGCGAGTTTGCGAGTACTGAGCTGGCCAATTGCTGTGCAGAGAATGGTATCGAACAGCAATTCACGAACGCCTATTCACCACAAGAGAACGGAATTGTGGAGAGAGCAAATGGAGTCGTGATGCCTCGTGTTCGGGCTATGCTGAGTGCTACGAGGCTACCAAAACCCTGTGGGGTGAGACACTACTGCATATAGCTGCCACACTGAACAGACTACAGACGAAGGCACTGGGACTGGTCATATCATGTTTCCTGACATCATTGACGAGTCAACTAGATACAAGTGGGCGTATTTACTTGAAAAGAAGAGTGAAGCGACATGGCATATCAAGGTGCTGTTGACTCAACTGAAGACGTAGCTACCTAAACTTGCGGCTCAACGATTACGATCGGACCCAAGGCGGCGAGTTTGCGAGTACTGAGCTGGCCAAATTACTGTGCAGAGAATGGTATCGAACAGCAATTCACGAGCGCCTATTCACCACAAGAGAACGGAATTGTGGAGAGAGCAAATGGAGTCGTGATGCCTCGTGTTCGGGCTATGCTGAGTGCTACGAGGCTATGAAAACCCTGTGGGGTGAGGCACTACTGCATATATCTGCCACACTGAACAGACTACAGACGAAGCCACTGGGGCTGGTCATATCATGTTTCTTCTCATCATTGACGAGTCAACTAGATACAAGTGGGCGTATTTACTTGAAAAGAAGAGTGAAGCGACATGGCATATCAAGGTGCTGTTGACTCAACTGAAGACGTAGCTACCTAAACTTGCGGCTCAACGATTACGATCGGACCAAGGCGGCGAGTTTGCGAGTACTCAGCTGGCCAATTTCTGTGCAGAGAATGGTATCGAACAGCAATTCACGAGCGCCTATTCACCACAAGAGAACGGAATTGTGGAGAGAGCAAATGGAGTCGTGATGCCTCGTGTTCGGGCTATGCTGAGTGCTACGAGGCTACCAAAACCCTGTGGG